CCCCCCCGCTCCTCTTTCTCTTAGTTTCACACTCTTTCCTCCTCTCCTAGTATCTTGGCAACATCGTGGAAAAATCATGTAAACACTTGAATGCAAGTTGAGCACACGTTAAACATAAACAGAGGGTCTTACTGTGCATTATCCAGTGTGTGCAGATGGGTTTGGTACTCATTAGTGTGGTATAGTAGTGAAGTGTTACTCTTTACCATGGTGTGGATTAAGATCTAAGAGAATCAGTGTCGAAAGCCTTTTTGGCTAAATGCTATTTCCCAGTTATTTGGATTTAAATGCTCCTTTTGAAGGATAAAAATGTGGCCTGAGCAGTATCACATGAATATGATTATTTTTGGTAGTGGCATGATATATACTCAGTAAACATTGAAGGCTTGAATTGTAGAAGTAGTGATACCAGTGTTAAGAACAATGACAAAGCCAGACTCATAGTCTTCAGATGTTCTGTACCTGCCTGGCATGGTTTAGTTTCTTACATATTCTTACGACATTGTGTGGGCAGATGACATTTTTCTTTTATACTTGCAGAAAATTTAAATGAAACTAGGAGTTAGTGGAACAAGGAGGCATACTAGCCAGCTCTGTCTCAAATTCAGTCTTCATGTTTTGTTAAGTTGACATGATTTCTGTTGCTGGTGATGTAGAGCTAAGGGAATGTAGAAGAGGAAAGCATGGCCAGGGCTTTCTCAGAGCAACACAGAGTGAATAGGAATGTGACTGGAGGCAAAGCAGAGTCTGGTTAGTAGAGCCCCAGTGGGAGGCTATGCTGTGAAAGTCAGACTTTAATATCATGATGCCCTGGGACCCTGCAGGAAAACTTTGAAATGTACCAAGTGTATCTTTAATATTGTTTTAGTTCCTAAGAAACATTGTAATGCAAAGTCTGGAATTTAGCTGGGTTTGGTAGCTTATACTTGTAACCCCAGCACTTGGGAGGCTGACGCAGGAGGATTGCCATGAGTTTGAGACCAGCCTAGACTGTAGAAATGAGACCTTGTCTCAAACAACAACAACAAAACTAAAACAACAGCAAAAACAACAACAACAAAAATCCCCAAACAACCAAAACAAAAAAACAAAATGAAAAAAAAAAAGACCCAACGATAAATCTTAAAAATAGTTACCTTTCTGTCTCAGCTGGCTTTATAAAAGGGGTGGTTCTGCAAGGAAGAGAAATCTGTCTTATCGTTTACTTTAAAGTACTTTTTATGTCCTTTTTCTCCCCAGCTTCTTCACAAAATAATTGATGGCATGTGTGGCCGAGCTTACCCTGCCTACCATGATTATCACAGCGTTTGGGATTTGACTGAATGGAAGCATGTTCTGGAAGATGTAACCATGTTTTTCAAAGCAGTAGTTGGCAAAAACTTTTCAGATGAAGAGGTAACTTCACTCCAGGTTTCTTTACCCAATAAGCACTGCCCAGAGTTTCTGACACTGCTTCTAGGGGAGAGGGGGGTCCATGCATGTCCTCAGTAGGTACTGAATACATGATACAGCAATTGAAACATCTAATTATGAGTGAGTGGAAGTTCCTATAGAAGTTTTAGAGCCTTTGCAGTTTTGTTTTAGTTGTTATTTTCCCCCACTGTAACAGGTTTAAAGTATACAGAAGAAAGCATCCAGCCTGGTAGCTGGGATTAGACCATTAACACTGGATCTCATGGGGTGTGGCTTTTGTAACTTTGTCAGGAATTATTTGTGCATATTTATGAGTTGTTTACTTTAACAAATGGAGTTCTATGTATTTGTCATGTTGATTTGGATGGTATTCTAGATCTGCATTTCTTTTGACTGTAGTCATCTAATCTGTTACATCCCTTGCTTTTTCACTCTCTTAATGGGGCTTTTGCTGAACAGAAGTTCTGAAGTTAATGAAATTGAATTTCCCAGTATTTCTTGGTGCAATGCTTAGGGTTATCAGTGTTGTATTTAGGAAATAGGAAGGTATCTTTGTGGGTTTTCTTGTGGCGGCTTGATTGTTTTAGCTTCTGTAATCTTCTCTCAGATATGTTTTGAATTTTGTGTGGGACAGGGGCTGTCTCAGTTTCTTCTGCATACTATCCCATTGACTATGTGCCATCTATTGGAATGACTGTCCTTGCCTCACAAGGCTACTGACAGAGTTGGTAATAAATCAGGTGGTCATGTGTAGGGTCTTTTTCAGATTCTTTATTGAATTCCATCAATCTCAGTGGCAGTTTTTTTTTTTTCTTTCTTCACTGTTTTAAATACCACAGCATTAAAGATATGCTACATTAATTCTTGATATCAGCTGGTAGAAGACTTTCAGCATCGTGTTTCTTCAAGGTTGCTTTGGCTCTCCTTGCTTCTTGTCTTCGGATATACTTTAGAATCAGCTTCTTAACTGTAAAAACCTGTTTGGATCTTAGTGTGGATTGCACTGAATCTTTAGATTATTTGTCGGTATCTGGCTGGCAGGAGCTTGTTAAGATCTGTCTGGGTTACTCATTCTCAGCTTATGCTTTTGTAGTTATTAAAGTATTTCTTTTTCATTGTACTGTTATTTTAAGAAGTGCGTGGGAAGAGGATGGGCATATTTTTTTTACATTTGAAGAAGGAGGTCCCTTTTACTCCTGTGACCATTGGTGTGTGTTTTCACAGACACTCCAGCAGTTGAACCAACTGAATTCTTGTCATCAAGAAGCAGTTATGAAATGCTTGAAGAGCAGGAAAAATGAGATCAAGCAGGCCCTGTTGGGAGAAATAGTTGATATTTCTTGTGCACAGCTGAAGGATTTTGATTGGCAGTTAAAGGTAAGAATCTAGTTATTTAGATGTTTTTGTGTATAATATCTAAATATCCATATTGTTTTAAAATAAAACTGTCTAAAATTTGTTATTTTGAGACTGCATTGTTCCAAGGTAATAGCAAAGCTCATATAAATTATTGGATTTGTATTAACTTGGACATCAAGAGCATTCAAAGCAACCAGACCATGTGTGGTGCCATTGTATTGTTAATGAGTTTTCCTAGACCTATCAATCAGACATGGAGAAGTGTGTATACAGTGTATAACCTTGGCAAGAGTCTTCCAGATGCCATAGCTTTCTCAAAATTGGTACATAATGTTTTACTTCTAGGAGGAAACTTTGTGGAAAGAGGGTAAGAGGGTCGTGCTGAGTAGAGAAAGAACAATTTCAGAATAGCTTTCTGTTCTTTTAATGTACCAAACTTGTAGACAGAAAACAGATACGTTCTGGTTCATGAGTTCAGTTAGCATGGTCTTATATCCAGAAAGTGCTTCATGTTGTTTTGGTAGAGTAAGAGGACAAAAGTTGGGAAAATGGGTTAGTTAGATAAGCTCATAACTACAGAAATAGCCTCTTCTAGACAAAGTTGTCTCAGCTGAGAAAATGGGCCTTGTGGCTCTCATTGTGGCTCAGCCATGTTTAAGATTTTTTTATTAACATGATTATTATATTGACACAATACTCGAAGTGTGGGAAGTATGCAATACATTCAAAATTTGAAATGATTTTGTAACTGTTACACTGGTGGGCCAAATGATAAAAAGCAAATTTATCAGTGATAAACTAAATAAAAACTGTTTTCATTTAAGTAAACAGTTTGCATTTAAATAAGTATGGATGATAGGGGAGAAGTGCTAGTGTAGCCTTCATGAAGGACATGTGGTTGTTTTTGTTTATCAGATTGTGGCTTAGCTGGTAAGGCTTCAGTCTTCCGTTTTGTTGGGAGATGTGCTGTGCTTTCAGGCAGGGGAAGGTTCCTGTGGGTGCTGTTTTCAACTGTGCAGTCTTTTTCGTTAGCTTAATAATCTCTTTAGTCTTGATTGCCAGACTTAAATATTTAAACAAATAGGACCCTTGCCAGAGAAGAATGAGCAGGAGTTTAAAATCATGTTTTGTGAAATTTTATAGAGACACTGGAGGCCATGTGTTGGGAAAAGATAAGGCCAATTGCAGGCCTTAGTTGTGTTCAGAAGACTAGATGTCCTTCGGGTGGTATCTTGATATTGTGGTCATCAACAGTTTGATAGCCAACAGTGAATTAAGTCACCTAATTTCTACTTCTACGTTTCTGAGTAATTTTAGTCTTGATACATGAATTGTCTGTCATCTTGGAATCTTCTCTTTAACAGTTCTGCTTGGTTCTTGCTGTACTGGGCACTTTCAGCACTTCTGAGTTCTTATAATAAAGCACAGTTGTGAACCTGAAGACAGTGTTTTGTTTAGCCAAACTCTGATCCAGATGCTGGCTTTTGGACAAAGTGCTGGCTCCTTTTTTCCTGCCCATTTCCTGTATTTGTTCTGACACCTTTCCTTTCTCTTCCTGTTCTTTGTAATTGTGTTTATCGCTCCTGTTTCCCAGAATTTGCAAGCAGACGGGCCATGTGCTCTTACTGTTAGACCCCTGAAAACTCAAGTATCCAGGGTCCCAGGCCACGTTCTCAGTCACCCCAATCACCAGGCGGATTCGAGAGCTTGCTGCAAACTGCACGAGGCTTTATTGTAATTTAACGAGCTAACACCATGTTAGCTCAGGTCTTTGACCCACCCACCATGGCGGATGGCTAGCAAAGACAGTTTGAAGCCGCTGCGCACAGATCTTTATAGGGCAGCGTAAGGGGAGTGTCTAGGGGTACGCACAGGCTCATGATTGGTGTGCCTCCAGGCTTGGAGGGCTTGCCCTGTGTTGATTGGTCAACTGGTTGTTATGGCCCATAGGCCCTCCCAGGGTGGTTGCTATGCTCTCTACTGTCATTGCTGTGCGCTTGTCCGTAAAGCACACCCAGGGTCGTAAAGCATAGCGCTACCAGCTAACTTCCGATTGGTTCCTTGTCACGAGACAGGCATCTGACTTTCTAGTGTCTGGGACAAGGTCATAGAAGCACGTGTTCGGCTGTTATGGCTGCCAAAACGGAAGCTAGTCCCTTCATTACCAAACTCTGATGCTTGTTGCATGTAGTTCAACTTACAGTTTATTGCCTTGCTTTCAACAGCTGGCGCTTTCTAGTGACAAGATCGCCACTTTACAGATGCCACTTTTAAACCTTCATCTGGATGTAAAGGAGAATGGTGAAGTGAAACCATACTCTGTTGAAATGAGTAAAGAGGAGCTACAGAGTCTAATTAGTTCCTTGGAAGCAGCTAATAAGGTATGTGCTTGAATTGGATCTTATAGTTTGCGTGCTTAAGTGTCAGCTGATCCTTGGGTAGGAAAAGTAGAATTCCAGAGGTTTGTTTATTTATTTATTTATTTATTTATTAGTTCAAATTAGGAACAAGCTTGCTTCACATGTCAGTCCCTTCTCCCTTTCCCTCCCATCCTCCCAACCCTCCCCCCACAACCCTCCACCTGCCCCCATCCCATCCACCCTCCCCTCCCCAGGGCCCTTGATGGTGGCTCCCCAAAGTCCAACACATGATCCTGGGCTGGGCCTAGGCCCTCCCCCATGTGTCCAGGCCGAGAGTGAATTCCTTCACATGGGATGGGCTCTCAAAGTCCCTTCTTACACCAAGGAAAAATACTAATGTATTACCAGGGGCCCCCTAGAGTTCGGAGGCCTCCTAATTGACATCCATGTTCGGGGGTCTGGATCAGTCCTGTGCTGGCCTCCCAGACAGCAGTCTGGGGTCCATATGCTCCCCCTTGTTCAGGCCAGTTGTTTCTCTGGGTTTCACCAGCCTGGTACCGACCCCTTTGATCTTCATTCTTCCCTCTCTGCAACTAGGTTCCAGAGTTCAGTTCAGTGTATATCTGTGGGTGTTCCAGAGGAGTTTTAATGTATCACATTTTACTAATACTTCATATCAAGCACAGAAAATACTTTGTTGGGATGTTCAGACCTCTACTTTAAATGTTGAGTTAATTATAACTTACAGTGTTCAATTACCAAATTCTGAATTAATTATCTAGTTATTTCCAAAACAAAAGCAGTGCTGTTACAACCATAGTTTTTGTTTTCCTTCAGTATTCATTAAGCTTAAAAATGAAATTTCTAACCTAGAGACCAAAACATTAGTTGATTCTCAGGTTTCTCTAATTAAAATAAAAATCTTCATGAATCTAAAAAAGAAATGTTTTACGTAGATGGACAGATGTTAGACAGTTGTCTTTGTAATGTTCTGAGTGTGGGAGATGAAATATAACTGTTGTTACAGAAAAATCAAGTTGAGATGTGATAGGACTAACAAACACTCCAAATCCTCACATGTGTAGCTGTGTCTGAACACCAACAGCCAGTCCCAGTGTGTAGCATGTGACAAAACAGGGTTTAAACAGCAGGAGTTGATTGTGAGGAAGCCAGCAGGTGATTTTCATTGTCAGGGTTTGCTTGCTGTTGAGCAGCCTTTCTTGAGGGCTGGTTGCAGGCCTTGGCTCCCAGGTGTTCTTCCTGGCTGCTGTCGGTCTCCTAGATCTTCCTTCCCTCTCAAGCCTCGATAAGCGTCACCTTGTTCCATTCTCCACGGTTGCTAACATTTTAATTTTGGCTTCATGATTGATCCTTATGTCCAGTAAGGAAGACTGGTGGCCTTCAGATGAATTTGCCCTTGAGAAGTGGGTGTGGTGGAGCCTGGTACAGTAACCAAGCACTGATCTTGGCAGGCAGGAGCCTGCCCTCATTTGCCTGTTGCTCTTCACATCTGTCTTCAGAGTTTATCTAGCAGATAGCAGCTCCATTCTAGTCTGACCTGATACCGCTTCTCCCTATTTGTGTTTTAAGGTGGTCCTGCAGTTAAAATAACTGGAAATGGTGAATTTCAACACTACCAGATTTCAGTGCTGCACCGTGGCAAAGTGAATGCTGTGTTCAGAAGGTGGATGCTACAGCAGGCTGAGCAGGAAGCAACGCTGAGATTACAGAGATGAAAATCTGTCAGCACCCTAAAGAACAGGAAATTGTATGGCTGATAGGAAAGACATAAAATGAAAGATGAAAAACTGGAGCTACTATGTGTGCTTTCACAATGATTGCTTTGTCTCATTTATTAAATGTTTGAGAAATCTTTAGATAATGCTTTATCGAAAGGTAAAAATAAGTTCTAGAGTAATGTAAACACACAAAGCAGACATACAGAACTGTTGCTTCTATTCGAATAGCAAGACATGTATTATGAATGTATGAATGTATAATGTATAATTTGTGATATGGGAAAATGTTTTAAAGCATATATAAGCTGCCTATGTAACTCAGGAGGGGTTGCATATCTTTTCATGTTTCAAAGAAAAGATTGTAAATTGTAAAGTTTCAGAGAAAAATCCGTTATCAGACACAACAAGAAAACATTTAAAATTTGTGTGAATAATTCGGGATTTATAAATTTTATGAACTAAAACGACAAGAAATGAGAATACCATGTTATTTTTACACATCCCCACCTCTTGGGGAGACTATGGTCTGAGCAAAGGAGAAAGCTCTGTACATATTGTTACTCACATGCAGGTTTAGTTTTATACATTCTTAATATGGAATTTGAGCTTTTGGATGGTCACAAATTAATTGTAATGTAAACCACTTTTCATCTCAGCTAACTTTAAAAATGAGCATTCTGAACAAATAAAAGTGTCTGGTTTTCTCTTTATGTAATCTTGATTTCAGTGCCTTCCCACATATCTCAGTGGTTGGTTTGCAATTAACTGGTCCCTGCTGTTAGCAGTTCCAGAGCAGTGATGATACCATTGCCTTCATACAGCTGCAGGCAGGCTCAGACAAGGCAGTGTAGCAAGTGCTGCTCTGTGGGCTATGATAGAGCAGTGACTAGAGCAGAAGTTTGGGACAGAACGTTCCTCAGTGACTACTTTTTCATTAAGAAATTTGCGGTGCGGAAAGTGTATCCAAATGGTGTACTCCATGTAGTTGTTGATTTCCTCTTAGGCAAGTCCCTTAGTCAGAATGGAGCACTGATATCTTGGAGCACTGGCGTTTGCAGAGGTCTCTGGATTATACCCTTCCTTTCAGTGTTCTCCCCCTCCCACACTTGGTTCCAGCAGCCTGTTTCATCTCCCTTAAGGTTTGATAGACATGCTGTCTCATGCCCTTATTTAAAGTGTCAGTTCAGGACATTTTGACTGACAGATACTCAAGAAAGCACCATGGTCAAAGTACTGAATCCGATCCTGTCTGCAGGCTTTCTCTTGTCCTCAGTGGCTCTGTCTCTGGCCCTTCAGGTCACCACCACCTGTGTGCTTCCAGTCACCATAGATTAGTGGAAATGGGATCATACAGTATTTGTTCTTTTTCTTTTTACTGCTGGTGATGGGTGCAGGGCAGTGTGCTTTACCATTGAGATCTCATAAACAGCAAACTGAATCACGTCTGGCTTTTTCCAGTGTCTGTTTTTGGACAGTGCTTTACACTGTGTCCAGGCTGGCCTAGAATTCAACTATGTAGACCAGGTAGGGCCTTGAACTCAACAACAGTCATCTGGCCTCAGTTTTCCAAGTACTAGGATTATTGGTATGAGCCATCGTACCCAGCGTTAGCATTATTTTGAGTTTTATTCCTAACACACACATGAATACTTTGTTCCTTTTTATTGTTAAGAAGTATCATGTAGAACTCTGTCACCATTTGTTTATCTGTTGATAACATTTTGGAGGTTTCAGCGTTTGCCCATTACAGTATAAAGGATGCTGTGAACATTTGCACGCATATCTTATTATGGGCAAATGATATTTTTTGGAGTGACAGCTTGGTCATGTGATACCCTTGTTTTTAAGATACCACCGCTATTTTTCAGAGGGATTTTTTTTTAACCCATTTTCCATTCCTACCAGAATGTATGAACGTTCTGATCCAACTTACCAATACGACATGTGGCCAGTCTTCCTAGGATTATTGGTATGAGCCATCGTACCCAGCGTTAGCATTATTTTGAGTTTTATTCCTAACACACACATGAATACTTTGTTCCTTTTTATTGTTAAGAAGTATCATGTAGAACTCTGTCACCATTTGTTTATCTGTTGATAACATTTTGGAGGTTTCAGCGTTTGCCCATTACAGTATAAAGGATGCTGTGAACATTTGCACGCATATCTTATTATGGGCAAATGATATTTTTTGGAGTGACAGCTTGGTCATGTGATACCCTTGTTTTTAAGATACCACCACTATTTTTCAGAGGGATTTTTTTTTTAACCCATTTTCCATTCCTACCAGAATGTATGCACGTTCTGATCCAACTTACCAATACGACATGTGGCCAGTCTTCTTGGTTTTAGCTATTTTGGTGTGCATGTGGTGGGATCTCATTGTGCTCGCAATAGTCACTAACACCCAGCCATGTCCACCATCTCTTAACATGCTTCTGCTGTCTGTACACCTCAGAGGACTCCATTCAGATCTGTTGCCAGATTTTTAAGGTGGACTCAGTTCTTGTTTCTTAATATTGTGTTTTGATAGTTCCTTTCCAATGCAAGGCCTCCACACTTAGCGATCTCTTTTTCTTCCCTGTAAGTAGATGGTACTGATTTCAGAGAGCAGCTTTGGACTTATAGAAAGGTTAAGAGGGCAGCAAAGAATTTCCAAATGGTCTCTAGTTTCTCCTCTTAACTGGTTATGTTGGTATAGAGCACTTTTATTTATTTATTTATTATTTATTTTTTATTTTATTTTAGGTCTTTTGATACAGGGTTTCTCTGTGTAACAGCCTTGGCTGTCCTGGAACTCAGTCTGTAGACCAAGCTGGCCTCAAACTCACAGACATCCTCCCATTTCTGCCTCCGGAGTGCTGGGATTAAAGACTCATAGTTAGACTGGAGTTACCAGTTTGGGGAGAGAAGATTACAAAGCCAAAGTGTCATTTTGTCACATGATTTGTGACCTGATGCTGACTGTCATCACCTGGGGAAGGTAATACCGGTTAGCCTTCCTCACTGTGAAGTCACTTTCCATCTTCCTCATTCTGGGCTTTTCTCTGTGGGTGGACATGACTGTTCAGCCTGGGTAGAGTGGGGGTGGAGGTGGGGTTGTGATCCTTTCTACCTGGTTAAGGGATTCACAGTTGTTTCTTTGTTTTCTCCTATAAATTATTTTGACTTTTATGCCATAGACTTGTGGGTATCTCTTTTGTGCCTTGGGATGTAATCCCATATTGCTTTATTACTGACATTATTTTAACTCTGTCCAAGGAAAGCTCTTTGTGTTGGTTCCTGTGTCCCTTTGACACATTTGTGTAGCAGGGTGAGATTTTTTTGATGAGTAAGCAGTTTTAGTTTTTACTTTTTTGCTTTGAAAAGGCATTGCTCTACTTTCTGGCAGCACAAGGAATTCCAGACTCCTCTTGTATAATATTTCTCTATAGTAAAAGATGTATTTCTTTTTATTTTCTCTGTGTGTTTTGCCTGCATGTATATCTTGTCATCATGTGCATACCTGGTGCCTGGAGGGACCAGAAGATGATGTCAGATCCCAGGAACTAGAGTTACAGACAGCTATGAGCTCCCACCTGCGTGCTGAAAACCCGGGACCTGAGGAAGAGGAGCCAGTGCTCTAACCTGTGAACCATCTCTCCAGCCCCTGTGTAATATTTCCTGCCCAATCCTAGAATCAGCTGATTCTCCAAGAAGCCCAGGATCTGTTGGGAGCCATACAGCTTGGCATGAACCTTTAGGCCAAACTTGGCAAGCCACAGCATTATAGAACTGTCTTTTGATTATAAATGGCTTCTAGAAGCATGATCACCCAGAAGGAACAACATGACCCAGATGTCAATTCTTTGTTCCAACCATAGGCCCACTTACCTAAGCAAACCTCCAGCATCCCACCACTTACCTAGGCAACCCTCCTTCTTCCCATCACTTACCTAGGTAACACTCCCTCTCCCCACCACCCTTGAACTTTTTACCCTGCCAACACCCTCATTCTATAGTTTTCTAACATCCTGCTTAAACTAACACCTGGCTCTTGGCCTCTTCTCCCCTTCCCCTTTACCCCATACTACTGACTATATAAGCTAGCCTGGAAAAAATAAAATTCGCCACTTGATTAGAATCCTATCTTGTGGTCATTCTCTCGCGTCTCTTGACTCCATTCCCCTCCCTGGACTTCTTGCTCTAGGTTTCTGTCCTGCGGGTAGGGACAACTACAAGGATCTTTTTATTGAAGATGGTTATTAGAAACCAAGTGAGATCTGCTGTGCTCACTGATAACTTCGAGCTGTGTCTTTTAGGCTTTCACAGAACAGCCAGAGCAAAGAATATGTGCGTCTGTCCTACCCTGTGCAATACACACATCTGTAACATTTTCTTTATATAATTATGTGTACCTAGAGTAGGCTAAATGGCTTCTTTCTGATGTCCAACTCCATTGTTGCACAGGTCATTTTAGCCTTATCTATAGATTTCTACTCCGGAAGAACCCTGGCCCTTAACAAATGCCATCCATTTGTCTGTGTGATTCCACTACACATATGTAGAATATTAGAATCATTTATCTGCAGGCCTGTAGGTCCTTCTGTGCATGCTTTTCTCCTTCAGTTTTAGAGACTCATTTCCAAAGTTATATATGGCAACACCTTTTCATCTTCTTCCAATTGCTTCAGTGGAGTTGTTTTATGCATTCATAGTACAGGTAGACATTTTTTGTTGTTCATTCCTTTCTTTCTTTCTTTCTTTCTTTCTTTCTTTCTTTCTCTGTCTCTGTCTCTGTCTCTGTCTCTCTCTCTCTCTCTCTCTCTCTCTCTCTCTCTCTCTCTCTCTCTCTCTCTCTCTCTCTCTCTCTCTCTCTCTCTCTCTCTCTCTCTCTCTCTCTCTCTCTCTCTCTCTCTCTCTCTCTTTCTTTCTTTCTTTCTTCCCCAGCCTTACCAGCTTCAACTGTTTCCTGGACTCTTCAACTTGCTAAATGATTTTTATAATGTATGCATTTGTGTTAAATATGTCTATCAGTTTTGGCTAATGGGTCATGCTTGTATCCACCATTTGTAAGTCAATTTGACATAAGGTAGAGTCATCAGAGAGGAAAGAGCCTAGATTGAGGAAATCCATCAGTGAGGTCCAGGTGGAAGGCTTTTTCTCATTTAGTGGTAAGTGGGGGAGGGCATAGCCCATGGTGGATGGTACCATCTGTGGGTTGCTGGGCCAGGGTTAGATAAGAAGGTGGGCTGAGCAAATCAATGAGCAGCTCCTCTCCAAGGCCTCTGCATCAGCTCCTGCCTTTGGGACTCTGCCCCACTTGAGTTCCTGTCCTGATTTCCTTCAGTGATGAACAGCAATGCTGAAATATAACCGAAATAAAAACCTTTCCTCTCCAATTTACTTTCTGGTCATGGTGCTTTGTTGTAGCAATAGAAAAAAACCCTAACTAAGACAACCGTGTAGAGTAAGTAGTTCAACACCATGAAAAGCCCATCTTTATCTGCTCATCCCTCTCTATCCAAAGAATTTCTGATGGCTGCTGAGTTTTCTATTTCTGTAATGTGTTTCCTTTTTCAGTGTGTCATATGGAATCATGTAGCATGTTGTCAAGTCACACAGCAACAGGTGTTCCTGTCTCATCTGTTCATGGCTTGATCATTTCCCTTTTAGTCTCTGATATTTCACTGTACTATTATTTTTTTACTTGTCAAAATTGTGAATAAAGTTGCTGTAAACACTCATAGGCAGCACAATCGGGTAATATGTAGGAGCATAGCTGTTGGATTATATAGTAAGACTGTTTATCAAAAAAAAAAAAACAGCCAATGTCTTGCACGTGTGTGTGTGTGTGTGTGTGTGTGTGTGTGTGTGTTTGTTAAAATGGGGTAACTGGGAGTCTCAGGGTTTCTGCCGCTTGCCTACCCACCCCCTCGGCCCATGACCCTCCTCCATCCCTCCTGGTCTCACCTCTGATCAGTTGAGTGAGAAGGTGCCTGTGTCTGGCAGAGCCTGTGTGAGGAGAAGAGACATCCATACTCGCTGCCAGAATAATTAAGAGTTTTGGCAGGGCCTTTGAGTACACATTGGGATAGTGAGGAGCCCGTTGAAAAGCACAGACTATGGCGCTGAAACTGATTAATAAGGAACTTAGTGATTTTGCCTGTGACCCTCCAGCACAATGTTCTGCGGGTCCAGTTGGAGATGACATGTTTCATTGGCAAGCCACAATTATGGGACCTAATGACAGCCCATATCAAGGTGGTGTATTCTTTTTGACAATTCATTTTCCTACAGACTACCCCTTCAAACCACCTAAGGTTGTGCAGGGACCACCTAAGGTTGTGCTCCTCATTTCGGCAGCCATGACAGTCTAACATGTGCTTGCCTGACCTTGCCTTGGTCACTAGGAGGTCACATGCTGGCCTCGTGGCAAGGAACCAATCAGAAGTTAGCTGGTGGTGCTATGCTTTACGGCTCTGGGTGTGCTTAACGGACAAGTGCACAGCAATGACTCGAAGAGCATTGCAATCACCCTGGGAGGGCCTATGGGCCATAACAACTAGTTGACCAATCAACACAGGGCAAGCCTGGAGGCACACCAATCCTGAGCCTGTGCATACCCCTAGACACTCCCCTTATGCTGCACTATAAGATCTCTATGCCGTGGTTTCTCAGTGTCTTTCTTAGCCATCCGCCATGGTGGATGGATGAAAGGCCTGAGCTAACATGGGGTTAGCTCGTTAAACAACTGCAATAAAACCTCTTGCTGTTTGCATCAAGTTTTCGCCTCCACCTGGTGAGTCTGGTGATTGGGGTGGCTGCCGTCCTGGGCAGAGATCCTGGGGGCCTGAGCCTCCAGGGATCTTTCAGTTGCATTTACTGGTGATTGGGGTGGCTGCCGTCCTGGGCAGAGATCCTGGGGGCCTGAGCAGATAAACAAGAATTTATCACCCAAATAGTGACAGTGATGGCAGCATTTGTCTTGATATTCTAAGATCACAGTGGTCTCCTGCTTTGACTATTTCTAAAGTTCTTTTATCCATTTGTTCACTGCTATGTGATCCAAACCCAGATGACCCCCTAGCACCAGAGATTTTATGGATTTATAAAACAGACAGAGATAAGTACAACAGAATATCTCGGGAATGGACTCAGAATTACGCCATGTGATGCTACCTTAAAGTCAAAATAACCTGCATTATAGCTGAAATAAACTTCAAATTACTGTTCCTTTTTTGATTTTCTTATCCAGCTGCTCCCCTATCAGACCTCATCTTTTTTAATTTTATTTTTTGTTTACCTCCCTCCTTTCATTCACATGCTCATCTGAGGAGACTTAAGTTCTTCCAGCTTTGGACAATAACTGCTTTTAGAAACTGTAGTTAACAAGAGAACAGTTGCAGGAACTGAGAAGTAGTTAACAAGATTCAGAAAATTTTTTAAAACTAGAGCATGTGTATTATGTGGCCAATGTCTTCACTCTAACTTGGTTATGAGACTAAACCAAGCCTCACTGCTCTAACATGCCGAAGAAACCATCTGAGCGGGAGGGAGATGGATGCTCAGCTGTCACATCAAAGGAAGCAGCATTATTCCAGTGCATCCATTCTTGTTTAAGCCTTCCACTGTTAGAGATTTGAGGTTACATGATATACTTTATGTTCATAAATGATGTGGCTGGTGAATTGGTATTGCATCAGCAGAACAAAAAATGTGATGTATTTTATGCATGTCAATAAAGGAATGACCTGTTCTCATTCTACAGAAAAAAAATGGGGTAACTGAATTCTACTGTTGTGATGCTGTTTTTCCTGTTAGCGCTATCAGTATTTGGTTTTTATATTGTGTGTTCTTATGTTCAGAACATATGTATATATCATTGCCATATCTTCCTGAATAGTTGATCCGGTTTCCTTTCCATAAAATCTAGCAGAGAGAGGCTGTGTGTGCGCGCGCCCCCTCCCTTGTCTTGTGTGTGTGTGTGTGTGTGTGTGTGTGTGTGTGTGTGTGTGTGTGTGTGGTCTTGCAAATTCCCAGTCAGAGGGAATTGTGACTGTCAGGTGCTCAAATTCTGGTTCCATCTGGTGCTTAGCTTTGGTACTGCAGTTTCCCTGGGGCTGCTGCAAACCACTCCAGTCTTGCTAGTCTCATCCTAGCCTCTGGCTTTCTATATTATTTTGGGTCTTGTCAGTACTCTAAGTCAAAAGAGATCATCTTGGACAGCCCCAAGTAGCCAGAATATCAGCCACATGCTTTTCTGTTTCCTGTCACTCACAGTGAGAAGCTACTAGTCTTTATCTCTTCCATACTTTGGGCTCCTGGAGTGCTAGGGACAGTCTTGCTGTCTTTTGTTCTCAATAGGGCCCTGGCTTCTAGACATATCATGGCCTGTCCATTCTCTGAGACAGAAGCCTGTCATTTGGGCTGTCTTACAAAGCGCCACAATGTTGGGTTTGTGCCGGTGTTAAATGTCACCCGGAGAAGCCAGGAACAAGGCCTTTCTGCCTGCTGGTCCACATGGAACGGCAGGATGGACAGAGGCATATGATTGCCAGGAATTTTGCTGTTGGAGACGGTAGTTTTGTTCTGGCCTATGGTCCAGATTCTTCTTAATTGGATTTTATTTTATTTTTTAAAACTGAAAATCAAGTGATTTTTATGCAATATATTATGCACAGTTTTCCCTCCATCTCTTCCCAGATCCTTCCCATCTCTTCATATTTCCAACTCCAATCCTTCTTTCTTTCTGAAGAAAACAAACAAATAAACAAAAAAACTAAGAAAGAGCACTAGTATGTATGCACACACACACCATAAAAACTCAAAATCAAAACCATAATATATAACCAAAAGACCAGTAAGTTTAAAAAGGAAGGAAGGAAGGAAGAAAGGAAGGAAGGAAGGAAGAAAGGAAAAAACCAAATAAAGCAATATGTGACCAGAAAAAAAAAAAGACAAAAAACAAAACAAAACCAAAAAACTCCCAAAATACCTTTGAGTTCATTTTGAGTTGGCTATCTACTGCTGGGCATGGGACTTGCCTTGAAGTGCAGTTTGTGAGACTTCCTTAGAGAAACTAATTTGTCTTTTGCTTGTTGGCATTAGCTTCTTTGATGTGGATGGGAGCTCATGTCTACTTCCCCATCTCTGCACTGGGATCTCATCTGGTTTGCATCTGTGCAGGTCCTATTTTTGCAGTCTCTGTGAGTTCATTTGTGCATCAGTCCTGCTGTGTCTGGAAGAGACTGTTTCCTTGGAGTTATCTATCCCCTCTGGCTCTTACATATTCTTACCTCCTCTTCTGCAGAGTTTCCTGAGCTGTGAGGGGAGGAGTTTGATGAAGGCATGCCATTTAGGACTAAATGTTCCAAGGTCTCTCACACACGCACATTGTCCAGTTGTGGGTCTTTATATTAGTTCCCATTAACTGCAGGAGGAATCTGTTTTGATAAGAGCGGAGTCAGATACTGATCTATGGATGTAGCAGAATGTCTTTAGGAGTCTTCACTGAATCTTAATTGCTTATGAAGGGAGCTGACTTACGTGTTGTGTTATTGTCTTGGTATCTCTGTGGTGCTGGAGAGGAGTGAAAGTCCCGGTCTTCTGATTCTGAGTCTTGCTGGCATCTGTTCATTTTGCATCTTTAGTAGCAACAAGTTGCTATCAGCATTCTCAGCATTTGTGTTGTTGCAACAGTGGATACTGAGTCATCAGTGAGCAGTGTTTGTTGATTCTTGTTATTTTACTGTTGCTGTGTGTTTTCTTTTTCTGGGATTATTTAGTCATTGTGTTTCCTTGGGTATAGTTAACCTCTTTAGATTAAAGTTTTCCTTCTAGCACCTTCTGTGAGGTTGGATTTGTAGATAGACATTGCTTAGTTTTGATTCTATTGTGGAATGTCTTGTTTTTCTCCATCTATTGTGATTAAAAATTTTACTGGGTGTCGTAGTCTGGGTCCATGTCTGTGGAGCATCTGTCCAGGGCCTTCTGGCTTTTTGAGTCTCTGTCTTAGGGTTTCTATTGTTATGAAGAGACACCTTGATCACAGCAACTCTTATAAAACATTTAATTTTTTCTTATAAAAGAAAACAGCAACAGGAAGTAGACTGTTTCACTAGGCATGGCTTGACATATATGAACCTCCCTAAAGCCCACCTCTACAGTGATACACTTCCTCCAATAAGACCACACCTACTCCAACAAAGCCACACTTCCTAATAGTGCCACTCCTTTTGGGGGTCATTTTCTTTCAAATCACCACAGTCTCCATTGAGAAGTCAGATGTCATTCTAATAGGTCTGCCTTTACGTGTTTTTGGTCTTTTCCTTTTGCAGTTTTAAAATATTTTTCTAAGTTCTTTTAATGTTTCAATTATTATGTGCCAAGAAGACTTTCTTTATGGTCCAGTCTATTTGGTATTCTGTATGCTTCTTGTACCTAGATAGGCAATTCCTTCTTTAGCTTAGGGAAGTTTTCTTCTATGATTTTGTTGAAGATATTTTTTGTGCCTTTTCACTTGGGTTTCTTTCCTTACTCTATTCCTATTATTCTTCGATTTGGTCTCTTCATAGTGTACCCTATTTCCTAGATATTTTGTGCCAGGATTTTTTTCAAATTTAACATCCTTACTCTATTCCTATTATTCTTCGATTTGGTCTCTTCATAGTGTACCATATTTCCTAGATATTTTGTGCCAGGACTTTTTTCAAATTTAACATTTTTTTTTGACTGATGTATCTATTTCTTCTATCGTGTCTTCAATGCCTGAAAGTCTCTTTTCTGTCTCTTGATTTCTCTTGGCCAGTCTTGCCTCTGAGGATCCTGTTTGAGTTCCTAATATTTTATTTCTTGATTTCCTCAGTTTGGGTTTTCTTTATTGATTCTATTTCCACTTTCAGGTCTTGAACTGTTTTATTCATTTCCTTTCATTGATCTTTAAGTGATTTATTCATTTCCCCTTTAAAGATCTGCATCATATTCACAAATGCTATCTTAAGGTCTTTTTCCTGTGCTTCAGATTTGTTACAATACTTAGGGGCTGCTGTGGTAGGGTTGCTGGGTTAGTCCTGCCTGTTATTGATTGTGTTTTTGCTTTGGCATCTAGGCATCTGGGATTGTGAAGATTGTAATCTAGGTGCTGATACCTGGTCTTGTCTTTGTTGGATGGGTGTTTTGTTTCTTGGTTTCTGATGACCTCTCTGGTTTTTGGGGTGTTGTGGTTGTGTGTTTCCTGGTAGGGAATTTTTCTGGGCTCCTGATAGGTGTGGTCACTGGTGATTTTGGGTAAAATGTGTTTCTAGGTATTGGGAGCTGATACTTA